CGAGGGTCCTTCTTTTCCAATACTCAGTCCCGATGCAATCGCCAAGGGCTAGAATTGAAATAATTTACTTAGATCGTGTGAGAGGAAAAAAAAAAAAGAGGAAAAAAAAAAAATCAGGCCGTGGAATAATGTTTAAGGTGAGTCGATTACCAAACCAATGCTTTTTAGTAGCAACGTACGTCCTCCCAGAAACCCCTTCATCACAAATCCGGCTAGAATACATTTGATCTCGGAAATACCAGAGCCCGCAGCATACGGAGCAAAAGACCTTATCATGTATGCGCATATCACTGCAAATAACGTCTGACAGGTATGAGGGAATACTTTTAAACCACCATTTAACGATGAAGATGATGAATGACATCCATGATTTGAAAACCCACCGAGAACATCACATAGAAAAACCACCTTATCACAGAGTATTGTGACCAATCTATCCAGTCATCGCAAGATCCATCTTTTTATATAACAATATGATGAATAGTGTGATTATATTGACAATGGTGTACAGGGATCGCGAGAATAGTATTCACACCTTGCTCCTCAACTTCCCAGCAGCAAAATTTTTGGTTTAACCACCAAGAATTCTTGCAGTAACCGAACTTTATGTCAGAGAGCCATTCTGTCGTTATATCAATCAATGCCGCATTAAGACCGATGATGATGCCTGCCAGATCAAAGATTTTTTTTTTTTTTTGATGGTAAATTAAAATTCGCAATTATCAAATGCTATGAAAAAAATTGATACAGACCAACTATCGAAACTACGATCCATGCTTGACCCGCCTCATAAGAAAGTTGAAACCAAGTGGCCCAAGATGAACGATTTTCTATGGCAGCACTTCGTAACGCGTTCAATCGTGATCGTTCGTAAATGGCATCCTGAACCCAATCTTTGTGCACCAAAAAAAAAAAAGATGATCAAAACTAAACAAGAACGAACGAACACCTTACGCAACAACCGGTGTCATTTAAATCGGAAATACCAATTGTGGTAAAATCCTCGTATCTTCTTAATTCCTCCAAGGCTTTATCATGTGGTTTATCGATCTTGCTATTTCTCAGTGCATTCCGTGAGGCTCTTTGTGTACGAGCTTGTCGTGTCGCATTACGCGGTCGTACTGGCATGTACGGACCTTGAAAGGAATTTAAAAACCTACGTAAATAAAGGAAGGGTGTGTGTGCGTGACGATTATGATTGAAAATTTCAAGATCCCCAAGTGATCGAACACTGTAATAGACGGATTTTTACCTCATCACCCTAGAATAAAAGCTCGTACCATTTTCCGCCTCCATTCTAAGTTATCTATGGCAGTTCATACGAATTTGACGTTATATACTGTATATAGGTTCTGTGTAACTTAGAATCATGCAGCACGTGTCACGTGATTCACTCGCTGTACTGTATAAAAAAAAAATATATATATATATATATATATATATAGCGGTGGCCATATACAGTATACTGTACATATGAATTTAAAATTTCTGCTTCCAAATATTGATTAATAATTTATTTACAAAACTTTGGTTTTTTTTTTAACTTTAAATGCTTTAATATCTATCCGGAGAAAAGAAGAATGCAAGTGCGATTATTACATAGGAAGCCTGAAAAAAGGATTCGGTTTGTAAAGTTGAAGAACGCGAAAAAAAAAAAAAAAAAAACGAAAACAATGATAGAAATATCTACCAATAACATTGCACCTTCGAGCCAATTAGATTTGCCGTCCTTTTACACCAAAGAAACCATGAATATGCATTCCTGAAGAAAAGGAAATAAATAAATCCTAAAGTTTTAAATTGAACTCACCTGAATCAAGTAATTTACAATTAACACCGATATCGCCAGAACGCAAGTTTCAAATGTTTCGAAAAATAAAGTTAACGGTCTGTCAATAATCCACCCCAACACCACCAGTAACGGTGACATTCCCAACGCTATCTGCATACTTGAACCCAGTGATATACCTGTTTCACGTGTCAAAGAGTCGAACGGTTGAACGAACTGCTACTTATGGATTCACCGTAAATTAACGTGGTCGACGTACCGATACATAAATCCATTTTGTTCTTCACCGCAAATGTCACCGAACTCACACTACATGATCATAATAATAATAATAATAATAATAATAATAATAATAATAATAATAATAATAATAATAATAATAATAGTAATAGTAATAATAGTAATAGTAATAATAGTAAAAATAAATAGTAAATGATGAGATTGTTCAATGAGAGAGAGAAAACGACGAACGAAAAAACCGATAGAAACGAAAACTCACTGTTCAGCCGCGTTGCCAATTATTGGAATCAAAATTATACCCACAAACGTTGTAGATATATTCGAACTCGTGACAAAGCCTTCGATGCTCTCAACAAGGAAGTCAGAGCAGATAGACACAAGTATCGTCACGACAACCAACCTACATTGATGTTACGTTGACTTGGGAGACATCGAATACTCAACAAAAAATTTAGCGGGGACCACCACTCACGTGAATAACGACACGAGAAGTGTGCATTGTGGCTCTTCGTCATTGTCTTCATTACCTTCGTACTTTGGCAACCATTTATATTAGATGCATGTGTGCGCGCATATGTTGAGATCAAATTTTATCTTACCAGGTGCGCGTGAGTCCGGAGTTGAAAGATGAGGTATAAAATGTATATAACCAATAATACTAGGGCCGTGCCATGGCTTAAATTCAATAAACCTTGCTTGATGACATAATCGTCATCCGTGGACGCGGTGAAAGCGGCAGGAATTAAAAGAGAGAGAACTGCCAATGCCAAAAGGGATGACGAAGTTTGTGCCGCAGTCACATTGAACGATTGTTCGAGGTGTCTGGATATTGAGAAAACGAGAGACGCTAAATTGAATTTAAGAAAAAAAAAGTAAAAAGCATCATAATCAATCGTAACGTACCTCAGACCGCCAAAGAAAAAGCAAAATCCTTGGACCTATATGGAGAATTTTGTTATTCAAAGTGTAAACCGCGTGGTGTTGAAACAAGGCGAAATTCTTACCAATAGCAGGTTTGATAACACGGAACCTAATATGGATGCTGCATGGGAATAACAATAATCTAAGCTGCAGTCGTCCTTTCACACGTTTGAATCCCCAATAAAGAGTTTCCAATCGTCTTACCTTGAACCACACGGATCATTCCGTTCTTTAGCGCGACAACGGAAATGATAAATTCAACCGCGTTCCCGAAAGTAGCGTTTAATAGTCCACCCACGGTTGCACCAAACTTGAATGAAATCTCTTCGGTGGCTACGCGTGAAAAGATCAAGAAGGATTCGCGTCAATGTACTCCGCGAAATGCATTGAAAAGAAAATTCAAGCATCCAAAAATAACTACCGAAACCAAGTAAATTCGCCAAGGGAATAATAGCCAAAAAATTCAAGCAAAAAATGAATGAGTCTGGCCAGCATGCGTGATAACTTAAAATTCCCAATGGCACGAATATCAAAAGCAGATTAAAATATGAAGCACAAATCATTGTTTTCATGGAAGACCAATTTGTTGGTTTGTTATGTTCGAAATTGCATCTGTGAAAGGGTTGAAAGTTATGACCGCGATAAGCTATCAGCGGAGTCGATTCACTGTTCGAGAAGCCTTCGGCCATATTTATCGTGGATTTGGATTTTAAATGAATCTTGTTGGACAATGAAGCGATTCGAATTAAAAAATTTCGACGTGTTGTTGTGGAATGATCAAAACTATTTCCGATCTCGGCATTGGGCATATTTTCGCAGGGTACATGGGGTTTAGCTGGAGGTTTCTTTATATGTTCCGACGTATCGAATTTTCATGCGCTGATATTTTTACGTACAAAAAAAAAAAATTTATGAAGACGGGTTTAATATGTGTATAATAATATACGATTAATGTAAACAGTGTGAATTATTCGTTATTTTTGGTAATAACAGATGGATCCCGCGAACATTTTAATAACGCTGAAAAAAAAAAAAAAATGTAGTAACGTGAGAATGTGGTGATAAGTCGGAATTAGTCGAAGTAACCCAAAAATGACACAAACTTTCTCGATCGAAAATTCCAAACCGTTTTGCGAGATGTCGTCAATATGCGTCGAAACTTTCACATTTATAGTCTTTCCTTTTTTTGCTTGGAGAATCAGCGAGCGGAATCCATTTTTTAACACCTTGTGTCACCTACAAGCCCCCTTGGTAAACATCAAGCCTCAAACCGTGAATCTCAACCGGCTTAAAAAGAAGTGATCGCCAAGCTATGATTTTTTACCAAAAATAAATGACATGGGGGGTGTTCTCCTTGCGTCACTCATGCGTCATCCCTACAGCACTTGTGC